ATATAAATTATAAAAAATGCAAAACAAAATAAAAAATAAGTTCAAAAAAACAATTTTACAAACAAAAAAGTAAAATTAAGAAATAAAAATTTTAAAAATACAAAAAAATTAGAAAAAAAACTTAAAAATGAAATAAAAAGATAGATCCAAAAAACCCACTTTTTAGGACCGAAAATGTAAATTAAACAAAATAAAAAAAAATATTTCGTCTAGGGGGCGGGCAGGCCTACCAACATCATCACCCCAAACAAAACTTTTTCGGCCTAGAAAATTATAAAAATAAATTTAAAAAAATTAATAAAATTAAAAAGTAAACTTTTTTTTTTCTTTTTTTTTCATCAATTATTTAACGAATCCACTTTTTTCACACTTCTGTGTCCTAATTTGATATTTTGACTTAATAAAACACAATTATTACTAGAAAAATTATTTATGTCATTTTTTACACTCAATTAATTTTCCAAGCCAATCATGAAAAATTATAAAACCTACAATTCCCATAAAAACAGATTATATCACATAGCAGTTTAACAACAAAAATAATAAATAAGTAAAATAAAACAAAAACTTTGGTCTTATTGCGTGCGCAAATCAAACACCTGCAAATCAGCACTGTGATCGATCTTCACATGTTCGGCAACCTAAAAAAACCAAAATGAAAAAACCCCAAAAAGTCCCCGACAATCACCATAAACAACGGAGGATCGGTGGGGTGGGGGTGAAACCCGGATTTCCGGCAATTCGCGATGAATTTCAGCCCATATTCAGGCGTCAAAATAAAAAAACCAGTCCTGAAAAAATTTGTAAAAATTGGCAAAAAAAATTTTTTTTTTATATCACTCGTTATATCTCGGGGCGCAAACAATTGCCACCGCCTCGGGCATCAACAGCTGATAAGGGCAGTGCGTGTGCAGATCCACGCTTGATAAGAACGCGGTTTGGGTGGGATGTGTCTGGAAAAAAATTTGGTTCCCAAGTTGGCAAAAAAAAAAAAAAATCGATACATGTATCCACCCAATTGTTATAAGATTGTGCTGGTCTTGCAAATCGAAAATCTCCTCTTCGTTCATGGTGGTGCACGAATCGGAGGTGCCCTTTTGCTTGGGGAGGATCACGTGGGTGATAATCAATTGGTTGTTTTCCTAGAAAAAAAATTTTTTTGGGCCAACTCGGGTGACGAATTTACCAATTTCCCGGCCAAGATCCCACAGGTCTCGATGTTATTTATGGTGTTTTTCTGGGCAATGGTCTGGAATTGTACCATGACCGCCCCAGGGACCACCACCATGCGTAATCCGGCGTTGCCAAACTTCGTATCAAACAACTCCGATGATGGTTTTTTACCCCTGTCGAAGTCGGGGGCAGGTCTACCAACAGCAAAATCAAGTAAAATAAAAAAATATAATTCCAAAAAACACATTTTTGAAATTTTGAAAACAAAAAATAAAATACATATAATAGTAAGTCCAAAAAAAGTTTTATGACCGGAAAAATGAAAAAATTATGAAAATAAAATTTAAAAAATTTAAAATAAAATAAAAAATAAGTAGAAAAACACATTACGACCGGAAAAGTAAAATAAAAATTATGGAAATAAAATAAAAAGATGGAAAGTGTAAAAATAAAAATTAAATAAAAAAAATAAAAAAAATTTAGGACCGGAGAAGTAAAATAAGCAAATAAAAAATAAAAATAAACTGTCAAATATGTCCAAAACACAATTTAACTAGTGAAGTA